CTCAGGGGAGCCCAACATGAGGGAGTTCCACCTCCCCCTCCTCTTGTTTCCCATAGAGAGGACCCTCATCTCCAAGAAGATGAGGGAAAAAACCAAAGTATCAAGCATGAAAATCATGTCTATGATCATTCCAGAGGAGCCCCCAATCACTGGGACAAGAAAATTAAGGAAGTGCAAAATCAGCTAGGTAATGTCTTCAACACCATGAAAGCGCAAGGACCGAGACAGTGGACTACCTGTTAAGGTGGATAGACACGTCTTTCAAACCTGATGTGGTGAACTACCCCCTTCCCCAGAAGTTCAAAATGTCATCCGTGGAGACCTTTGACGGAACAAATGATCCACTAGATCACCTCGACACCTACAAAACTTTGATGCAGTTGCACAATGTCCCAGATGAAATTATATGTAGGGCATTCCCAACTACCCTGAAGGGATCAGCGCGACAATAGTTCGCCAAACTCACCTCGGCCTCTATAGGCTCTTTCGCCAAACTGAGCAGATCGTTTGTGGCACAGTTCATTGGTGGACGCCGCCAACAAAAGCGTGTCACCCATCTGCTCAATATAAAACAGAATCAAGACGAGAGTCTGAGGAGTTACCTCACTCGTTTTAACGAGGAGGTCCTCCAAACCGAGGAGCCCAATGACAAAGTCACAATGACCGCCTTTCTGGGAGGCCTCCGCTCATCTAGATTCCTTTTTTCAGTAATGAAGCAACCACCAAAGAGTATGTCAGAATTATTGGCAAAAGCTCAAAAGTATATGAACGCTGAGGAAATCAACAAGTCTAGGCGAGGTGAATCATCTCGCGGATCTCCAAAAGCTTGACCTGCCTCTGCACTGTTCTCAAACAGGCAGCCTCAATATCCAGCTTAGCGACTCCTTCACAGGTCGCCAAAAGTTTGGCCTGCTTCTGTACTGTTCTCAAACAGATAGCCTCAATATCCAACTTATCGACTTTCTCGCGGGTCGCCAAAAGTTTGGCCTCTGCACTGTTCTTAAACAGACAGCCTATATCTCCAGCTGAGCGGCTCTTTCACGAGTCGCCAAAAACTTGGCATCTGCGCTGTTCTCAAGCAGACAACCTATACCTCAAGCTTAGAGACTCTTTCATGGGTCGCCAAAAACTAGGTCTCAAAAGGTGTAACTCTCTCACGAGCAGTTCTCCAACTGTCTTTGCTCTCGCGCAAGCAGCCTACCTCTCTCTACAGGTAATTATGTGAGATATTTTAATATTTAGAATAATATTATTTTTGTCTTCATAAGCAGGCTCTCCCAAGGCAGACCCAAGCTCATCCAAGGCACCCAACACCTCCCAGGCGCCTAAAGGAGGTAGCCCAACACCTGAAGAGGGGTATGCTCGCCCAAATGGAGCAGCCCAACACCTGGAGAGGTGCTTGACCCCCTCTGCTCATCCAAACGAGGAAACTCAGCACCCGAAAATATGACTGACCCCCTCTGCTCATCCAAACGAGGCAGCCTAGCACCTGGAGAGGTGTCTGACACCCTATGCTCATTCAAACAAGGCAGCCCAACACCCGGAGAGATGCTTGACCACCTTTGCTCGCTCTAACGAGGCAGCCCAGCACCCGGAGAGGTGACTGCCCATTTTTGCTCGACCAAACAGGGCAACCCAACACTTGGAGGGGTGTCTGACCGCCTTTGCTCGCCAAAACGGAGCAGCCCAGTAGCTGGAGAGGTGTCTGGCCCTTCAAAGTTGCACAAAACAGCACTTTTGGCACCTAAATCAACGCCTATGGTGCCCAGATCATCGCCTGGAGTAACGCTTAGATCAGCCCCTACACCCAGGTTACTGCCCTGCTCTCTTTGTTGCACCTTGGACTGATTTCCTGCACTTTCTGCTGAAAAAATACTGCTGCCCATCGCTCGTGAGCTGCCCAGGACAGCGGAATTTGAGCTGCCCAGCGTGTCTGAGCTGTCCAGGACAGCAGAAACAGTGCCCAGGCTGTTGCCCAGCCTCCCTGCTCGCCCACTGTGCACGTCTGCTACGTGCCTGATGGTTTGGACAACCCCGTTGTTTGCCTGCACGCGGCTGTCCAGCTCCCTGCTCTGCGCACCCAAGCTGCCCAACTCCCTATTTTGCGCTCCAAGGCTGTCCAGCACTCCACCCAAGCTGTCCAACTCATTGTGTTGCGCGTTCAAGCTGTCCAACCCCCTTTTTTGTGCGCCCAAGTTGTCCAAGACATCATTTTCAGCGCCTAAGCTGTCTAGGACAACTCCTTCAGCTCCCAAGCTGTCCAGGACAACCCTTCCAGTGCTTGGGTTGCCCCCTACACTCCAAGAAAATTCCTTAAATCCGCCCAAACTAGCGCCTAAAGTGGTGCCTACCTCCTCCCTTCCTTCAATCTCCACCACTCCCTCTTCAATCAACATTGCCCACTTGAAAACTCCACTCAAAATGGGTAGGACTTGAGTTCTCAAGGTTTTCAAGAGGTGGGTGTTCAATCTCAAAGTGAATGAAATGGGTAGGATGAAGGAGATGGTTATATTTATAGCTTAAGGTTTTTAAAGAGGGAAAAGCTCAAATTGAAGGTTATGAGCTCTTCTAAAAATCCTACCAAAAATGGAAAAAACTTGAGGCATGCAAAATAAAAATGCATTGTGGAGGGAAAGAGTCATCTAGCAGAGGAAGTTTCCACCACTTATAACTCAAGGAGCAAATTAATGCATCATTCTCCAAGTTTCCTTGAACACGGGGCATTGGGGGACAAATGATGGGTCAAGCCCAAATGGCCCAATCTATATGGAAAGTTCAAATCTCAATTGAGGAGCTCAACCTCATTTAAAGATCCACCAAGCCCAACATAGCCCAAGACCAAGTTAGACTCTTTGTTTAGCCACGTCATCAAGAGGAGAGCATGTGAAGCCTTATCTGCACCACCGAAGGAAACGGTCCACCCTCACCATATCTTTGACCGTGTCTCATAGAGAGCTCCTCAACCACCTCGCTCGTTGAGAAGAGATCGGAGCTCCACCGAAATGGTTGCTTAGTCTCTGGAAAGTAGCCCCAACCTGTTAGGAAGCCACTATAAATTGCACACTCCATCAACACTTAGGAGGAGACTGATTGCCTAGCATCACACCTTCCCTGACTCTTTCTTCTCCCTCGAAGCTTGTATTCTCTGTCTCCACACCCTTAAATTAATAAAGTACCCGATAACCAAAAGTCATTGAAGAGTGGACGTAGGTCGAGTTGACTGAACCACTATAAATTGCCTATGTCTCTCCATCTCCTTATATTGTTTCTTACATTTATTATTTATACTTGACAAGTGGTGTGCGAAACCATTTTGTGCATCATCAATATTAATGGGTGGATGCATGAATAGAAAAAAAGTTTTAAAGCTTGAAAAAAGAAAAAATAACTCTATCTTTAATAGGTTCTCTATACTCATTGAAATTGTATTTTAGAGAGTCAATATTTAAAAATTTATTTTTAATAGGTTCTCTATTTACACTGTTTAAATTAAAATTTCTAATTTAATTCTTTATATATGGAGAGTCCAACCCAATCTTTATTTTTTCATTAATGAAAAAATTATATCTATATATTTTTTTTAAATAAATGATTTGACTAAAAAGGCTACTCTTCCACTACAATAAACAGTCTTATTAGAGTTATTAAAAAATTTATTCTCTATTTTAATTTTTATCAAAAATACTTTGTATTTTTTAAAAAATGATATTTACCATACAAATGTTTGATTTAGTAATTATACTCAGATTCTCTAAAGTTTGAAATATTATACACAGACTTCCTGAAGTTTGTACTCGTGTAACACTTAATCCCTTACCGTTATTGTCCATTAGTATATCCGTTAGTAAATTACACTCAGATTCCTAGAAGTTTCTAAGTGTATAATATTTAGACTCCTCAAATTTAAAATATTATATTTAGACAAAAAATTCTTCAATCAAAGATAAAATATCAAATATTTTAAATTTTACAACTAAAATTTATATTCTATTATATCATTTATTGAAATAAAATTAAAAATAAAAATCTAATTTTTTTTTAAAAATCGTAATTATTATACAATTATACTATCTATTGCAATACAACTAAAAAAACAAACAAGGGTTGTAAAATTCTTGCTCTATTATGTCATTTATTGAAATAAAATTAAAAATAAAAATTTAATTTTTTTACAAAAAAATCATAATTAGTATACAATTATACTATCTATTAGAATAAAACAAAAAAAATAAACAAGAAGTCAGACTATAATGAAGACAATATATTTTAACTTTAATTGGGGTAATTTTGTAGTTTAATTTGATTATTTAAACGATCAAATTAAATTTCAATAAATATTATAATTGTATAATAATTATAATTTTTAAAGAAAAATTAAATTTTATTTCAATAAATGTCATAATACAATATGAATTTTAATTGTAAAATTTAAAATATTTAATATTATATATTTGATTTAAATATTTTTAGTTGAAGTACAACATTTTAAATTTGAGGGGTCTAAGTATTATACGTCTACAAACTTTAAGGAGTTTGAGTGTAATTTATTAACGAATATTGACTGTAAAAGTTTAAGTGTTATACGCCTACAAATCTTAGAGAGTCTATGCGTAATATTTTAAATGTCAAGAGATTTGAGTAATTAAGTGACAAACTTTATAAATTTAAGTGTAATTCTCCCTTGCTCTTAATATTCCATGACACCTAGTTTAAGTGGTAACTGAAACTTCTAAATTTTGCAAACATAACTAATAAAAACACAATCTCTTTGATTTTGTATTGCTCAGATGAAGCAAACAATGCCCTTTGATAAGATTTTGAGGCTTCAAACAGACAGATTCCACCGTTATCAACCCTCTTTAATCTCCCAATTTAACTAGATCAATGTTATTGTGATTTAATTTATTAATTTAATTTATTAAAATTTTTAAATTGATTATAGATTCCATTAAATATTAGAACTTGATATTCATCTAATAAGTCTACTAAAATTACATCATTATGTTGATAAATTATGTCAAAATTTTAAATTCGCATAACATTACTCATTAATTACTCATTAAGTAGAGTAGGGCCACACCAATCTCTCTCTTTCTCAGCTAAGCGGATTTTTTTTTTTTTGTTTTGAACGGAAGCTAAGCTGATAATTCAACTTAATTGGCAGAAAGTCCAAACGACCACACGGACACTTGCATATTCTAACTTCACCCGGGAGTGACGCAGTGCTGTCTCCACAGATGCAAGTGATATTGGTGGTGGTTCTCTGGCTCATGACACCGCCTGAAACCATCTCCGCCGCTGCTTGCCATCGGAAACCGCCACTCCTCAACTCTGTCATCTCGCTTCTCTTCTTTGTTCTCTCCAACCTTTTCCTCAGTTATTTGCTTTTCATTTTCTTGAACTTCCACCTTTTCTTCAACAATTACCTCTTCATCTTCTTGAACTTGTTGATCCGCTTCAACTTGTTCTTCCATTTCCAAATCTTCATCACAAATGAGATGCAATCTCAACCGTCCATCTTGCCGGGAAGCGCGAAGAAACTTAGGACTATGAATCTTCACCTCTGAAAGCTCTAACCTCCCATCTTTCCTCACCGGCCGGAGAAAAAAATTGGGCTTACCGTCGTAATTTAACGACGATAAAGGTGGTGGAAACTTCTTTACCTCGCTCTGTTTCTGGGCAAATTTTCTCTTCCACTTTGAATTATTCAATGGAGACTTCCTCCAACCCAGTTCATCATTGTTCAAATTATCAATTTTATCATCAACCCTTCTCTCATCTGAGCTCTCGAATCCTAAACTCTCTGTACATGACATTAACCCATCTACAATACCACCAACTTCATCTATAAACCCTATTCCACCAGGGTCCTTTTTTGGGGTTTCCATAAGGGGTTTGGTGGTGGCGGCGGCGGCGGTGGGAGGGGAAGGTGGTGTTGATTTGAGAGTGGAAGACTCAAGAACGTTGATGGGTCTTTGAATATCAGCTAAGATGGTGAAGAGACTTAAGCCGCCCGCCAGAGATGAAATGTTCCGGTGGTGGCTGAAGGAATCTTCTGTTTCATTGTCGCCGGAGCTGGAGAAACCTAAGAAATAGTGGACACTTTTTCTGCAAAAGCTCATCAATATCATAGTAAGTACTTGAGACTTGAAAGGGTCAGAACAAAGAGTGTAATAGAAGGACGAGAATAGATGATGCGGGTATTAATAGCATCCTCATATCAAAGATTGGGAGAAAATAATGTCATGATTAAATTTTGGGATTAAATTTAAAATCTAGATAATATGATAATATATTATTTAAAATTTTTATTGGAGTTCATAAAAAAATTCTAAATTAATTGACATATCATTTAAATTCTAAATTTAGTCCCAAAATTTAATTAAACTTGGTCCCAAAATTTATTTAGGGAGGTGGGAATGGTGGGAGGATAGCCAACGAGGCATATGGTGTAAAACACAGAATGAGCTGGGAGGATGAGGAGAGGAATCGGTTTCCGGGTCCCACGCAGAGAGATGGGGTTAAGAGTGAGAGTTTGGGTCCAGACTCCAGAGACCAGATCAGATCTGTGCCGTCCTCTGGGTATCCTTCCCATCCTCATCTTTTCTGTTTTTGTGTGCCTTTTGGCTATTTTGGATGTGAAGAGTTAATTCACTGTAATTATTATATTGAAAGTGACCTTTATTTAAGATTGATATTCATAATTTATCTAATAATAGTATTAAATTAAATTCTTAAATTAAATAAATATTGTATGTAAGGGTGACAACATACTATCACACACATGTGAATACTGTAGGACAATACTGATGTGTTATTACAGTTATATTCAATATTTTTTTATATTGGGTGAATATATCATTACTCTTTGGAGAATGGGACAAATGCGGACGCTTGTAGAAAAGTCCTTGTTAACTTACAAGAAAAATGAATATATGTGATTGGACTTTAGACAGCTTAACAACTTTCGAATCGACACGTGGACAGTCATAATTATTATGTAACTCTGTAGACGCCGGGGGATGGTGTCTAGCGGTAATGGCTCAAAGGAGCTGAGTAGACAAGCAAGGGCCATCATTTTAAGGAGATATGATAGTTCATTAATAAGGACTTGAGTGACTGTGACAGGGCTATTAATGAGTCTCTGTAAATCTCGAGACCCAAACTTACAATCATAATTGCAAAGTATTAATGGCTACCGCGTTGAACATATGTTCTCGGCAAACCCTGAGGTACTGTTCCCCCAGCATTAAACACTCGGGAATAAGTGTCAGGCACCGATCATATGGACTTAAATGACCGGGGATAGGATCATAAGTGCTTGACATGCCCCCGAGCAGTCAACCTATTGCCTGAGTGACCCAGTCACAAGAATTTGAGTGGAGAACACTCATTACGTATGGGTAAGAGTTCAAGTCATTAAATGGTGAGATGAAACTCCAAACCCTTGTACTTATTGCTAGTTCAGGTATGAATACTACTCAGAAATATGGACAAATGTACACAAAACTAAACTAAAAAAAGAGAAACGTTCTGCTAAAGCTTCCAACGCCTACTGACTTAAGCTTTGAAGGGGATAAGTCGGGTGTTCACCCGACCCCTTTTTTGACATATTGGTGGTTTCAGGTTCATTGTCGAGAGGATCGCTACCTTTATTCATTGCAGGAACTCTCCCGTGTAATTTGGCGCTGTTTGTGGTAAGCATACGAGTTGTTCTCGTAATGATTTCATCATGGTGAACACACGATTTCAAGGTGCTGGGGGGGAAACTTGAACGTGAGAAACGCAGAGGCTACCTCGCTCCCAGCTGTCATTAAGTCAGATTCCTTGAGCCAGTTAGAGGGAGGCGAGTATGCTGCACAACGAATGTTCCTTGTGGATTAAGGCCTCGGGGAGCAGGGCATTTTGGCTCGTGAAATCGTTGAGTTGATGAAAAAATAGCTGGGAAACTGTCTTAGGCAACTTGAGAAACATAATGCCAAGGAGCAGGACCGCCTTAAAGATTTTTAGCGATTAGGGAGTGCTAGTTGGCAAGCAGTAAGCGTGAAGACCAAAGTATCAGTCGAGGTGATTCCCAGGGCGAAAGGCTAGTTGTGCCCGAGAGGAGTTTACGCAGGTGCACGGAAGAGACGCGCAACCCTTGTAGTTGAGGAATGCCTACTCCCGAGGAAAGATTAGAAAGGGACCACCACCGGACAGGCCTGTCTCGGTGGGATCTCCACCATAGATTGTCAAAGGGTGCCGCGGTGACTGAGTCTCACATAGAGTTCATTGCGAGGGGGCCAAAAAAAGTGAGGCCCCGAGAGGACCTCCAAGCACCGAAGACCCTATCCCGAGGGAGATGAAGACAAGGGTAAGCAGATCGTCTCCCCGTTCGTTTGGACAATTTGGGAGTAGAGATGTCCAAGAAGTTCACTGTCCCCTGATTCAAGGTTTATGATGGGAGAGCAGATCTTGAAGCCATCTACGACAGTACAAGTAGTTGATGTCACTTTATGAAACTGATCAGAGATTATTGTGCCTAATTTTTCCCATGAGCTTGGGGGACACCACGATGAAGTGGTATGAGAACTTGACTCCTGAGAGTATCAAGTCATGGAAGTAAATGACTGAGCTCGATTCATTACCAGTTGTAAAAGGCCAAAAGACATCAACACATTGCTAACACTCAAAAGGAGGAGTGGAGAGCCCCTTCGACAATACGCAATTAGGTACTAGGAGGAAGTTAACGAGGTTGATGCATGCTCAGAAGTCATGGCTGCAACAACATTTTGGTTGGGAATGTCCTGAGACACCGACCTATATAGATCCCTGACTAAGTGGGGCCCGAATGACATGAAAGACCTGATGGCTTGGATAAACATGTACGCCAGATTAGAGGAATAGTCTATAGTGCTCGAGAATAGGGCCCTAGTGCCAAGAAAGAGGGAAAAGGAACCACCTGCAAGGAGCGGGCCACCCATCCCACCTCTGAGTTATTTGTCCTTTCAAGGAGTAAACACAGTCTTTAAAGAACCCATTTACAAGATGTTGCATAAGATAAAGGAGAAGCCCTTTTTTAAGTGGTCGTTGAAGTTGTATGGAGACCCATCATCGAGGGATTTGACTTCTTGGTGTTCTTATCATCAAGATGTAGGGCATTTAACTAAATATTGTAGAGTGTACAAGTCTTTTCTCGAGCAATTGGTCCAAGATGGGCACCTCGGGGAGTTCATTAAAAAGAAGCCAGCGAGAGACTCAACGGGAGAAGGAGCCGACGCGTCCCAAGAAGCAGCAACCTTGATTGAAGTAATTCACACTTGCACAGTTGAGAAACCTACGTATAATTCCCTACGGGCAGACCTCAAGAGGGTCTCACAAGTAGTGAAAGTGGAGGAGAGCAGGTGTAAGGAGCAATCGTCTAAAAGGCCACTCACTGACGTCAAGGTCATCCACTTTTTTGATGCTAACCTTGGTGGGTTATTGCTCCTGCATGACGATGCTTTGGTAATCACACTTCGAGTTGACAAGTTTGATGTCAAAAGGATCTAAGTTGACTTGGGTAGCTTGTTCGAAGTGATGTATGACAATCTTTTTTGCAAGATGGGGTTCACCTAGAAGGACTTGAAACCAGTGAGGATCCCCCTCATTGGTTTCAACAGTTCTTGCGCCCTTCCCTCGGGAATATCACTCTAACGGTTAATGACAGGGCCGTTACCATCCCAGTAGAATTTGTAGTGATAGACTCTGATTCGCCATATAATGCCATCATGGGCAGGACATGGTTGTATGCGATGAAAGCGGTGCATTCATCTTATCATCAGAAGATAAAGTTTTCTACCCTGAGAGGTGTCATGGAGATTCGTGGCAATTAAACATCGTTGAAAAGTTATATTTACGCAACAATAAAGACTGGGGTCAGTGGCCGAGCTCAAGAGCGCGATCCCGAGATAGTGGTGGTTAAATAACAATCACAGTTCAGTCTGCCTAGTGTGGATGACCTTGTTACGAAACCAGTTGATCGCTCCACGGAGGCCCTGGTCAAAGTTCTTCTGAATCTCGATGACAATGAGAGATTCTTTTTAATAGGGGCATCACTAGGAGGCATCGAGAAGTCTGACATGATAAGTTTATTATGCCAAAATGCCGATGTGTTTGCAAGGACCCAAACCAAGATAACGGGAATAAGTGCCAAGATAATGACTCATTAGCTTCATGTGGACCTGTCCTTCAAACATGTAAGACAGACAGCTCGAAGAATGGTGCCCTATCATGCAAAGGAAGTAGATGAGGAGGTGGACAAGCTGCTAGGGGTGGGCTCCATCAAAGAAATGTAGTTCCCCCAATGGTTATCCAACACGGTGTGCGCGAAGAAAAAAGGAGGGAAATGACGAGTTTGTATGGATTTCACAGACACAAATAAAGCATGTCCCAAGGATGAGTATCCATTGTCAAAGGTCGATCAGCTTGTAGATGCGACCGTTGGCCATGAACGTATTGATTAACCCTAATTAAGGCATAATTTAATAGGTAAATTGTATTAGTTGAATAAAATAAATTAGTCAAAATAAATCAAATTAGAGTTAGTGTGTGAATAAAGAATAATGCATTAATTGTTGTTCTTTTCAGGGTTTTGTACGTTAAAGCTACAAACTACTGGAGAGCCAATTGCATTAAAGCTACAAACTACTGGGGTGCCAATTATCAAAGCTCAAAACAAAGGGGGATCAAAGCATTCAAGGCCACCTAACAAGACTTTCATGCCACCTAACAAGATTCAAGACCACCTAACAAGACTTTTCAAGGCCACCTAACAAGACTTTCACCCTCCGTTGTTGCCTATAAATACCACCCCTTAGGAGTTGTAAAGCATTCATCTTTTGGTAGTGGAAAACCCTCCAAAAATATTATTGCTTTCTTTTATTGTATTATTGCTTGCTTTTAATTTACTACTTTCTTTTACTTTAAGTATTGCTTTCTTTTATTGTGTTATTGCTTTCTTTTATTTCCATTGCTTAAGCTTCCTTCTTCCCTTAGAGAAGTGAAAATCTTCCACTTTTCTAGAGCTTCACCAAAGCCGTGAAGGGTGGAACGTGATTCACTGATTCTTTGTCGAAGATCGGCTCCTTGTGTAAAGTGTTTTACCTTGTAACTCTTCTACTTGGAGGGATGAGCATCACTCATTTTACTAGCTTTAGCAAAGCCATGAAGAGTGAGTAGTTTCTCATCCAATCTTTA